CCCTGCTCTACCTGACCAAGGTGAACTCAGCCATTTGGTTTGTTAATTGTTAGTGTGTGGTATCATCCTAGCCACAAAGTTGTAGAAAATGATCCTTCATTTAACCTACTTGAATAGCGACCAATTGAAGCAGGTGTAAAGGATGAGGCCTGGGGGAAGAGGAGTGGGCAGCCCAAGATTCCAGGTTGCTAGTGGCCACCTACCTGCTTGTCCAAAATTGGTTGCCCTGCTCCTACCATTTTGAGGCAGGAAAACACAAAGAACTTATAATATATATCCTAAAATAAGCTTAACGTGGGAGGGGAAGGGAGGAGGGAAGAAAGGCCCTTTGTATGCATGTGACAGTCTGGGACACATCATTTCCCCCCAAATATCAACTTTGCTTCCAGGTCACCAAGTGAAAGTTCATCCTTTCTCTAGAATTCATCTGTCATGCATTTATGTATTTTTACCACAGCGGGGAATAATAGGAAAACTCCTCCCTTTCCTGTTAGCAGGCATGTCACATTTTTTAGTGGTTTCTGCCAAAAGCTAAGCCACGGTTTTCTTCTCTTGGTCTTGCCTCAGGGTGCTTATTCTAGGTTTAATCGAGCTCTCATGGAACACGTATCCCTCAACCGTTTACAGTTCAGCTTCTCTCCATGTGTGTCATGGAATCATCCTTCTGCAGCTGTGGTGTGGGACAATGTCTTCTCAGGAGGAGAAGCAGCAGTTGAAAAAGGCGGAATGAAAATGAATCAGAATAGGGACAATATAATCTGGACAAATTGGACATTGCTGAGGACAACCGATGAGGGCTGTTCACAAACCTTCCTGGTGCCTGATGCTCAGGGTGAGACGCTGCCTTCTCTTTGCTGTGGTTAAAGGGTGATACAGAATGGGAGTCAGCAGAGTTTATCTTCACATCAAAGATAATGTGGAATATCTTCAATAAAGGACAGTAATGGTTGGACACGAGGCTTCATGCGGCTGCAATTTATGCATTGTCACAGGATGTGACATCCTACAAAGTCAGTGTTTTTGGAAATTGGATTTCCAGGCTTTTTAAGGTGGATCAAACACTATTGCCGTGAGTTGTGTCAAGTTGGGGGCAAGATTTTTTTAATATGCCCAGTGACAAATCATTCCCTCTAGTAGTACTCAGCAGCTAACAGGTTAATGCTCAGGGTAGGGCTGCTGAGAAATGGGGAAGTGCAGGAATGACTTGAAAATCCCCAGTGTTTGTATACGTATGTAACGTACATAAAGCTGCTTTTTCCTAGAATGCCACAGCGCAAGGACAATAGAAGATGCTCAGAATATGGGCAGGTTTGGGGGCTGGGAATAGAATGAAGTATCCATTGGTTGGCTGGCACCCTCAGCAGAAGCTCCAACCTTTTGTTATGGACCTGACTAGTATTGCTGTCTTCCATGTTTGCATTGTTGCTTTTAAAAAGATTTTCAAAACTAAATTTCTTAAACAGTCATACTGAGATGACTTCAGTGGCTTATTTTGCTAGTATAATCCAGAATTTGACTACAGGTAGTCCTTGTTTAATGACTGCAGTTGGTTCCGACAGCTTGGTTGTTAAGTGAAATGGTCACTAAGTGAACACGTGAGAGACACACTGCAAAGATTGCTGGTTGCTGCCCTCTCATTCAGATAGTTTTCTTGTACAGTGTCCTGTGCCTGACTCATTCCCCCCCCCTTTTTTTTTGCC